ATTTATATATTTGTTTGTTTATTTTGGACCATTTTTACTTTTTTGTGTTTTTACTTTTATTTATTTATTTATTTATTATATTATTTGTTTGTTTGTTTATTTTTGGACGAATTTTTACTTTCGTGTTTTTAACTTTTTTTTTTTTTCTTTCTTCTTTTTTATTCATTTATTTGTTTATCTTTAAGAATGTGTTTTTTGTATTTCATTTTTAGATGATTTGTTATGTTGGCAAAATTTAAGATATGTTGTCTGAGATCGTATGTGTGTGCGTGTATACCTGTATGTGTGTGGGTGTGTGGTGTGTTGTGTGATGGTGGTGTTGTGTTGTGTGTGTGTGGTGTGTGATGGTGTGTGGTCTTATGTAGATGTCTGTGAATGGATGTGTGGGTGGTATTGTGTGGTGCGTGTGTGTGTGTGTGTGTGTGTGTGTGTGTGTGTGTGTGTGTGTGTGTGTGTGTGTTTATGTCTTTGTGAAAGAAAAAAGAGAAAACAAAATAAAAACGGTGAAAAACAACGAAAATACATAGAAACAAGAAGGGAGAAGAGAGAGAAGAAAAAAGGAAAGAGGACACAAAGAGAAGAAAGAGAGAAGAGAAGGAGAAAGAGAAAAGGAGAGAAGAGAGACAGAATAAAGAGAGAGAAGAAAAAAAAGGAGAAAGAGACAGAACGAAAAGAGAGAGAAGCAAAAAGGAAAAGAGACACAGAGAGGAAAGAGAGAGAAGAAAAAAAAGGAGAAAGCGACACAGATAGAAAGAAAGGAAGAGAAAGAGAATAAAGAGGCGCGGATTCTGTTACACGGGAAGAGGGTTGGCGATGGGCGTGGACACGAAGATGGATACGAGCCTATGGGCGTGGATGTGGATATTGTGGATGCGGATGTGTGTTTGTGTTTGTTTGTCTGAGAAACGGTCGTTTTTCTTTCTTTGTCTGTCTGTCTCTCTTCTCTATATATATATATATATTTTTCTTTTAATCTCTTCTTTTCCCCTTTCTCTATTTATCTGTCTATTTGTTTCTTACTAATCATATCATTTTTATTATTTCCCTCTCTTCCCCCTTCTTCCTTCCTTCCATTATTTTTTTCTGTCTATGTCTGTCTATCTTTGTCTATTCATATGTCCTTCTATCTATCTACTCTCTCTCTCTCTCTCTATTTATCTATCTATCTCCTTCTCTCTCTCTCTCTATCTATCTATTGCTTTCTCCCCCCCTCTTTCTCTCTCTCTCTCTCTCTCTCTCTCTCTCTCTCTCTCTCTCTTCTCTCTCTCTCTCTCTCTCTCTCTCTCTCTCTCTCTCTCTCTCTCTCTCTTCTCTCTTCCTCTCTCTCTCTCTCTCTCTCTCTCTCTCTCTCTCTCTCTCTCTCTCTCTACTCCCTCTACCTCCCTCTCCTCCCTCCCTCCCTCTACCTCCCTCTACCTCCCTCCCTCCCTCTACCTCCCTCTTCCCCTCCCTCCCTCCTCCCCCCCCTCTCTCTCTCTCTGTTCACTGTAGCCGAATAAAAACGGGAAATGGTGGAATATCTCGTCTTTCCACTAATTTATTTCTGACGACATTTATTTCTTTTCTCTTTTTCTTTTAGTAATGTTGCTCTTGTACTTTTTTGGTTTATGTTGTGCTGTGACTTTAAGGGGCTTGGATGTGTGTGTGTGTGTGTGTGTGTGTGTGTTGTGTGTGTGTGTGTGTGTGTGTGTGTGTGTGTGTGTGTGTGTGTGTGTGTGTGAAATGTGTGTGTGCGTATGTGTGTGCGTGTATGTGTGTGTAACAAGAAGGAGGAGAGGAAGTAAGTATGAGAAAGAAGGACAGAGAGAAAGAAGAAAAAAAGAGAAAGCGAGCAAAGAAATAACGACAAGAATAGTTCTAAAAGGGAAAGAGAAAAAGATATTGGGGTGGGAGGGGGATACGTACCAATGGGGGGGGGAGAAAATACATTCCAACCCATTCATTCACGTTATTGTATCGCTGAGAAAATACATTAATCAATTATAAAAAATACATTAATCATTAATAATTATAAAATAGCATTAGATAATAATCATTTCAGTTACTGCGCCAACGATCCTCGCAAATAGATAATACAATCTATCAGAATTCTTGTTTCGTTTCTCTTACACATGCACACACATACAGTCACACACAAACATACATACACACACACAGATACGAATGGGCATGCACACAGAGAAACACAATACACACTGGTACACATACACACAGACACCCACACACACAAACATGTACACACACAGAGATACGAACGGGCACACACACATAGACACATACATACAGTGCACACAGGTACACACACACACACACACACACACCACACACACACACACACACACACACACACACACACACACACACACACACACACACACACACACACCACACACAACACACACAATATCAGAATTCTTGTTTCGTTTTCTTACACACGTACATTCACATCACACACAGAGACACACACATATACGAACAGCCGCACACACAGAGACACATAGATACAGTGCACACAGGTACACATACACACACACACACACACAATCAATCAATAACTCACAGTGAGCATTTGTTACCCACTATGCCAATGATCCTCGCAAATAGATAATACAATCTATCATAATTCCAATTCCGCTTTTCTTATATAATTATGAAACACCAAATACGACACGAGGAAAATAATTCTCAGACAAAGATATATAAGGAGACAAAAGCCGATCATTTCCTCTGTGAAAAAGTTTTCATTGTGCTTTGTCGTTTTCTAAAAGTGTATTTTGTGTATTTAAGTGTATTTAGTGACTGATATATATTATGTCTATATTTGATCGGTCTCATGTAATCACGTACATACAGATACGAACGGAAGCACACACAGATTACACATATACAGTACACCAGGTAGACAACACTCAGGTACACATATGTACACCACACACATACACATAGCACACACATACACATACATACATACGAACGGGCACACACAAAGAGAGACACATACATACAGTACTCACAGGTACACATACACACAGGTACACTCACACACACACACACACACACACACACACACACACACACACACACACACACACCAACACCACACATCCTCCTACATCCCCTCCCACCTTCCTCCTCCTACCTCCTCTCCTCCACTCTAACCTACCCCTTCTCCCTCCTCCTACCTCTCCCACACCCCTCTACCCCCTCACCCTCACCTACCCCCATTCTCCCCCTCAACCTCCACCCCTCCCCCCCCCCCCACCTCCAACCCACCCCCTCCACCCCCCCCTCCCCCCCTCATCCCCACCCCCATCCCCTCCCCATCTTAGAGGTCCCCCGGGATGCCTTGGGGGAAACTG